TATAGTTTTAAATATGGTTAACGTCTTCATAAACAAGCTAATCCAGCCCGTAAACAGCCTTATCCCTTAAGTGTAGCCACAGTCCAATATTAATTAGTCCCAAACCCAAAATCATTGAGTAACTCTGTAGTTTCAAATTTAACAGGGATCAGTTCTAACTAAACCAAGTTGATATGGCCACCCTGAAAAGGCTAAAACTAAGTTCAATATGTGTATGTGCATGTATATATAGAGAATACATAAAAGGGAGGGAGCATACAAGGTACAATAACTAAGATAAGAAAAAATCAACGATCTGTTGGTCTGAATGAAAGGAATTTGTTTTTTCTTAAACAAAGTTTCAAATTCGAATCTTGTAAATAGAGAAACAGATGCTGAGAGAGTTTCCTTTTAATAGAATTCAACGGGACTCAATTCCGAATTAATCGGAATTTAACGTGATTACTGAATACCGAGAGATTAATACCAAAAAACAACTAAGATAAAAAAATAAAACAAAAATAGAGTTCCTAGTAATTAACGATGAAGAATAGAACTATGAAATAGTAATTCTCACATTTTAAGCAGAAAAAAAAATTAAATGAAAAGTGAAAACAGCCGGTAATGTTGTAGTCTTGTAGATCAGATCCGCCCGGTGATTCCGACAATAATCAGCCTAATTAATCTGACATGCAAGAAGAGAGAGCGAAGACATGAGCCAAGGTGACCTGCTGCCTGGCGGAGGGCAGGCGGCTGATCAGGCAACAAGAGCTAGCTAGCGCATGCAACCGGCAGCGGAGGCAGGTCATCCTTGGCTCACTATCTCCACTCTCTTTCTCTTCATGTAAGACGATATATGGGACAAGAATTAATGAATCATCATCGGTCGTCAACTTTAACCGTTTCTCACTTGATAATTAGAACGTCTCGTTATGTGTATGTCTTTTTATAGGAAGAGATTGGAGATACTATAAGGCAGAATTGCAGATGAATATCATTCCCGTGTATATATTCCATTCCGACGAAGGGGACGTTGCCCATCATGCATGGAATATGGAACCTTTCCAATTATCTATCTATTGGCTTTATTTAATTTAGTTGTTTCAAATGGTCTATAATTAATAGAAAACGACTGATCAATAATGTTTACATTATAAATAGTAATATTAAATTATCAAATATTCTCTGTCAAATATATAGGTGGTTCAAAATCAAAACATATCTAAACCAAAATTAAGACATCTATTATTAGTTAAAAGTCAATTAATCAGAAATATTTTTTGGACCTATACATTTTGAAATATGATTGATGTATCCTTTCTGTTTTTACAATAAGTTGTACAATATAATGTTACATTTTATAATTAACTCTTTTGATTTAGAATTATACGTGAATTAATATATATATTTATTTAACATCCTATTATTATATTATTTAAAATATTGTTAAAAATACAATACCTTGCGTCTTGTGACATTATGCAAACTGATAAGATAGACAAAAGGTATCTCCTATATTGCATTAACCTTTCAATAATAGAATATTGTGTTACCTTAACAAATTAATGGGAGACCATAATCATCCCCTTTAATCTAGGTGTATGGAGTGATGGAGATAAGACTAAGGGTTAAGCATTGAGTTACATAAAAATAATTAAAAAACAATATTTTAATTTAATTTTTTAATATAACTTTATATATCATTTAATAATTTTATTTTTTTTATTAAAATTTATAATATTATATATATTTATTCATTTAATTATATATGAAATTTTTTAAAAAAAATTTAAAAAAATTATGTTCATGTCATTACCCTTCAGCTACACAACGGTCCCAAATAACGTGGGTCTTGGTGGAAATCATCCTGCACAAAATGTGTTTCCAATTATATACATATACCTCTTGGTATTGTCGGTATGTGCCTACCATGCACGTGTTTGATTCTCATATGTCGATGGATTAGAATCATTCATTAGTGTCAAAATCATCTTTAAGCGCTGGAGATTGATTTGTAGGTAAATCTTTCTGTTTATTGTATTTAAAAAAAATTAATTTTTTATACATTGAATCTCGTTTTTTAATATTTAAAAATTAAAATTTAATTTAAAAAATAATATTTACTT